CCCCCTCTTCCATCCTCCTGCCCCTCCAGTCTTCCCCTCCCAACCCCCCCCATTCCTTCCTACAAGAAGGTAAGGCCTCCCGTGGGGAAGTACATTTAGTAGAGGCATGTCCAAGCTCCTCACACTGCCTTAAGGCTGTGTGAATTTTTCCATCATAGGTAGTGGGCTCCAAAAGGCCTAGTCTGTAGTTCTTAATTATTCATTTGCTCTCATTATCCCAATGGATGAAATGAATCAATAGGCAATCAGAAGAGAAAGTGCAAACAAGGTCTCTGAAAGAGCTCCAGTTCTCACTATGAGTTTAAATAACCAGTTGCCGCAAGCCCCAGGAAAACATAATGGAATTCAGCTACTATCACAAAAGCTACTACTTGGAAAAGTCAAGGACTTCTCCAAAGGTCAAGTCATGGCTTAAGAAGTCTTGCTGATATTTTAGCTTTTTTGTATATATATGCTGGCTCCTAAAATGATTTTCTTGCATGCTTCCAAGAACTCCTAACAGTGTATTTATCTAAAATGCCTATCAAGCATCCAAGGCCATAAGAAACAACACCTGTCTCCTAGGTCAGGTGGATAGCTTTATTTCTTGGGCAATTTAGGGTGAGGCCCTCCTTTCTTATACAACCTTACTAATAGACCCCTAACTTCTTACATAACCACTTCTGGGAATATAGAATGAGCACATAGATCCCCTTTTTGATATACTAATCTTTCACTCTCTATTGACCTCCTCCTTTACCACTTCCCTTTTGGGTTGTAAAAGCCTGACAGTCACTGCCGGAGGAAAATTCTTACCTACCTTTATGACCCCATAAGAATTCAAGCCTTGTGAACTTGTCTGCCAGTGGATCACTACTGCTTGAGTTTATAACTGGATTCCTGAGAGACTTAGAGAGAACGGAGAGAATACAGAGAGCTGAGAGGTAGAAGGAGAGAGAGAATAATTTTTGAAGAGACAAATTGAAGATGAAACAGAGAAGAGACAAGAGAACAGAAGAACTAGATGGGTAAGAATTGGAGAGGAATGAATAAGATGGGAAGAACTAGATTGAAGGGCTAAAAGAAGAGTGCCAGGGGAACAAGATAGAAGATGAGGACGAGCCAGATGGGGAAGAATGAGTTGAGGAAGAACAAGGTGAGAGAGAAGGAGATGGAAGAGGAGCTGATATGAGAAAGAACTAGATGGATGAGAACCTAGATGGGGCAGAACTAAGATGAAGGAATTAAGATAGAACTTAGAGGGGACAGCAGATAAATGTAGAGAGGAATCAGGCAAGAAAGGAGCTAGGCATGAGAACAGAATAGAAGCTATGTAGAGAGAGAACTGACACAGAATAATAAAGTGTATGCACTAAGGAGAGTTTGTGTACATAGATTCATTTCTTATCCTCAAAGATTAAATTATCAGCTGGTTGTAGATTCTTCCCAGACCCTGGGAAGGGACTGTTGAGGGGATGGACCCCCTTAGTCCCCGATAGCCAGTCAACATGTACATGGGGATGAGTTTCTGGTATCTGAGGTATACTACTCTGCCCACCTCACTGCTGAGTGCTGACAGGCAGCACATGCCCTGGACTGCAGTCTCTGTGGATGAGCAGGAGACCATGGGAGCCACAGCAGCCTGGGGAACTCAGGATGGCAGAGCTGTGCCCCTGCTCTAGTTCTGCATGGAGCAGGTGGATGTTCTCAATGCTGCATGGCTACAGCCTCTGTGGTGAGGCTTTGGAGCATATTGTGTTTGAGTGCCGGGCTGGACAGTTGGTCTCAGGGTAAATGCTGCCTTTTGTTTCCTTGAGATTTAATTGAAAAACAATTCTTCCTAGTGAAGATAAAGCTTAAGGTTGGTGGAGAAGTGGCTCATCAGTGAAAGGCACTTGCTGCTAAGCACAAAGATGGAAGTTCAGAACATGTTTTAATAAGCTGAGTTCCCAGCAAAATTTGCAACTCCAGCTTTGAGTGATTTGACACCATCTTCTGGCCTTCATATGCACACAGGTGTGTGTAACCGTGTGTACACACAAGTTTGTGTAGACACACATGGACGTGCACACACATATGTAAATAAAAATCAAATCTTTAAAAAATAAAGCCTAATATTTTAGGAATCATACAAAAGAGATCATTCATTCAGGAAAATGAGGATTAAATATACTGGCAGGGTTGGATCTTTGTCACTGGTCTACTGCTGTGAAGTTACACCATGACCAAGTCAACTATTACAAAAGAAAGCATTTAATTGGAAGCTTGCTTACAGTCTCAGAGTTTTAGTCCATTTAGTTGGAACATCATTGTCTTAGGATTTCTGTTGCTGTAAAGAGACACCATGACCACAGCAACTCCTATAAGGAAACCTTTAATTGGGTGGCTCACTTACAATTTTAAGGTTCAGTCCATTATCATCATTGTGGGGAGCAGTGCAGGATGTGGGCTGTAGTGGTATTTGCTCTTCCCATAACTTTGGGCTATGAGGCCCAAAGAAGGCGATGCTTCCTGCCATTTTACATGACCTCTTAAAAGGAAAGGGAGAGGGGTCATGAGGTCCCTTCTCCCTGCTTCCTGCTTCCTGGGGTGATGGAACTGCAAGGTAGATTCACGCCAGGTCAGAAAAGAGCATGACTTTAGCTGTCTACTCAGTTCTGTATTTGTAAATGTATTTCCTCAATTTAAATTCTAATAAATTCCATAATACCCCCTTAGCAGACTCCAGTGGATATCTCATGATAGTAGGCAGACATGGTGCTGGCTATATCTCGATCAGAAAGCAACAGGAAAATGGTCCATGTCTCTGGGAGTATCTTGAACAACAGAGACCTCAAAGCCACCCACACAGTGATATACTTCCTCCAAACAAAGCCAAACTGTCTAATAGTGCCACTCTCTTTGATGGACATTTTCTTTTAAACCACTATAATGGTCAAAAGAATGATGCGTGGTGAACAATGTCTTGGGGAACTATAAGAGAAGCTCCAGGAAACAAGACAGAGAACCTTCTACCTTAAGTGCACCGTGTTACCTGGATTGGTCTTGGACATGTGCCTGCTGTGGGATGTCTTTCTGTACCCTGTGAATATGTCTTGCTATGATTGGTTAATAAAGAAGCTGCTCTGGCCTATGTCGAGTCAGGTTATAGCCAGGAAGGAAATCCAGGAGAGAGCAACACGAAGAGGAAGGGCTGAGTCAGGAGCTGCCAGCCAGACACAGAGGAAGCAAGATGACAAGGCAGAACTGAGAAAAGGTACCAAGCTATGTGGCTAAACATAGAAAAGAATTATGGGTTAATTTAAGTGTAAGAGCTAGTCAGTAATAAGCCTGAGCTAATGGCCAAGCAGTTATAAATAATACTAAGCCTCTGAGTGATTATTTTTATTAGTGACTGTGGGTCTGTAAGGGGCCCAAAGGGACTGGAGAAACCTTCTGACTACATATGCCAAGCATTTACGTCAATTTATAAGACATGCTTATTACTGTTGAATGTCAGAACATAGCTATAGAAACCAATTTGGTCAGTGTACTCTGAATCTGGATATGGCCATCTGCTTTGCTTTTGTGCTTTCCCAGAAATGATCTATAGTATGTGCCAGGCAATGTTGTTAAAGTTGTCCTGTCCTGAAAAAGTTCTGGGACATGGCTTCTCTGTTAATGTTTAATATTTGCTTACTGGCACTTGTTATTTACATGTTTTTCTGTTTTTTTTTTAACTCAAATATCTGTCTTTGAATCATTGCTGTCTTTGTTACATTCATGTATAAAAGTACACTGTAATGGTTGCCTGTTTGAACCATACCCTGAAGTACCACCCCTAGTGAGGGAACAGATAGCTGTTACACCTGCCTATGACCTTGATGTACATGTCCCTGGGGTATGGCTTTGAAGGGACCCTTAAGACCTGGGATGCATGAATGTGCTCTCTCTCTCTCTCTTTGCTAACTTGTGGATTTGGATGCTGAGATCTTGGACTAGGCAAATCAGCACGGGATATAGCTCAACTTTCATGGACCCTATGATATATCTCCCTTGGTTGTGAGTTACCTCCAAATGATTTTTTTTTTGCTCATTAAATAGACTCTGTGGATTAATCCCATTGTCCTGGGGGTTAACTTGCAATGTTTAACATACAACAGCATAGAATATACATTACTATTCCAAAAGGGAGGAACAGGAGCATAGTAAGGAAATGCTGGACCAAAGCAAGACTGAAAACCAGCTGGGCCAAGTCCAAAATCTGCATTTCTATATTTGATGTCAAAATTTTCTTCAGATCTCCAACTCATTTCAGCTTTGTTAACTGTAACAAACTTTTTTCTCTTGGACTGGCTCCATTACCTGTTAGCAGCTTTCCTTGGCAGGTATCCCAAGACTCTGGCATCTCCAACATCCTGGGGGACCCAAGCAATACAGACTTCACCTTCACAGCTTCATGCAACTGCCTTTCTGGACATCTATTCAGGTATACCCCTGACATGTGCCTGGCCTCAGTGCCTTTCCTTAGATGCAGAGGAGGTTACACAAACCCTTTCTTATATCCTTGATTTTAAAGCCTGAACACATGTTGCCAAAGTTCCCAAGTTCTGCTGTTTACTGGGACTGGAGCATGGTCCCCTTGTTGAATTACATCTTCACCAGCTTTGTGTTTTCAATTGTCTCCTTCACCACCTAAGTTGGCTGTCCTGGCACTTACTCTGTAGAGCAGGCTGGCCTCAAACTCAGAGATCTGCCTTGACTACACATGAAGACACCCAAGTGGTAATGATTATGTTATAAATTACCTGTCTTCACTGTTTCTCAGATCTCTTTAAGTATTTTCCAGCCTCTCATTCCCTAGGAAGCTCTGGGTTCTGTCCTGAGGTACCCAGAGGTTCAAAGTTCTCCGTTCTCCATCCTCAAAGATGCCTCTTTTCTTTAGCTGACTTCTGAGCTAGGTGTTTGTATTCAGTGAAACCTATTCCAATCTGACACAAATACTGTTCCCAATTTCTAGCTCAAGTTTAAACTTGAAAAGGCTATAACATTTGGAAAGACTTGGCTGAGTCTCCAGGCTGAGAATCTGTGATGTGCAAGGAGAGCTGTTTCGTGCCTTCACTGAAGAAGACTGTGAATCTTCCATCTTCCTTTTTATTCAACCCAGAACGTATAGCTATCAGCAGTGTAGGACCTTCACCAGGGAACTGCCGGTACCACGGGAAGTAGTCAAATGCACTGTTCTCATAAGTGCAGTTCAAAACTGAAGTCCCTCCTGCCGAGACTGTCAGAGATTGGGGACTTTGTCTCACCTGCTGTTGGTCATGTCTGTCCGGCTGTTGGCCACTCACCCCTGTGTAGAGAAATAACAAGTGTCATTAGGTTCCCGGGTAAGTACTTGGTGTTGATGCTTTTAACATTTATGATTTTGGCTGGTGCCCCAGTTCCCTCGTGCATCCACATTAATCCCATATCTGAAGTTTCTCATCCAAGACTCACAGGCTAGGTGAAAGGCTAGGACCAAAAATGATGCTTTCAGAATCTTGTCCATTCCTCCTAGACTGAACCTCAGGGAGAACTCGGAAGGCCTTTTATCTCCCCTAGAACAGAGACTGTAACTTCACAGGCACTAAGTTCTTTCAACAGGCTCCACCCCTCACAAACACTTTGTCTAAAGCTATTTCTGACATAGGAAGTATTCTCCAATTTTATTCAAATTTACTATTGCTGCAAAGACAGTCATTGAGAAGCAGAAATCCTCTCATTGTAATTCTACCATTATACACTGTTTGTAGAAATGTGTGTTGACATACTCACCAAGAATAGCAGTGTGAATTTTCTGAAATACACAAAGGAAAAAAAGAAAGAAAAAGAGAGAAAGAAAGAAAGAGGAAGGGAGGAAGAAAAAAGAGAGAAAGAGAGAGAAGAAAAAGAAGAAAAGAAAAGAAAGACCAACAATCCAGCTAATACCACTTATGGGCATTTATCCAGGGGACATGAGGTCATCATATAAGAAAGACATATTGCATATTGGTGTTTATGACAGCACCATTCACTATTGCCAAGATGTAGATAGAACCTAGGTACCACCAGTCAACCGATGAATCAAGAAAATATTGTACCTGAAACAGCAGAGTAATATGCAGCCACAAGGAAGAATGAACTGGCGCCATCTGTAGGAAAACAGATGAAGACATGATGTTAAGCAACATAAAGCAGACCCGTAAAAATACACAATACATACGTGTTCTCATATGTGAAAACTAACAAAAAAAAGAAAGAAAAAGAAAGTAAAGATGATCTGAAAATAAAAGTAATATAAATGTGTAAGGAGAGGGATAGTGGGAACAGGGGAAGGGAGAGAAGAAGAGGGGGGAAGACAAATATGAGGAAATCTATGCAAATGCATATACTAAAATTTTACATCAAACCCACTACTTTGTACAATTATTGTGTGCTGATGACTATGGTAATTATGTGATTAAAGAACAGATCAATTTAAATTTTTCTTCATCCTAGAAGCTTTTACATGCATATACATGATGGGAGTTAAGACGGAGTTACCTTACAACAAGAGTAAATCTACTAGATACCAGGTGATATAAAAAAAAAAAAAAAAAAAAAAAAACTGTGCCAGAAAAGAGTTACCTCTTCTGGTGTTTGAATTAGTTTGCTTTCTATTGGTAAGATAAATAAACATAATGACCAGATTAAATGTAGGAAGGAAATGATTTATTTAGTTTACATTTCTCATCATAGTCCACCACTGAAGTAAGCCAAGTCAGGAATTCAAGCTGGAACAGTGGCAAGAAACATACATGACATCTGCTTACTGGCTTGCTCCCCCACGGTTGATTATCTTGTTTTTTATATAACCCAGGGCCTCCTGCCCAGAGATGAGAATGACCACAGTGAGGCTGGGCCCTCTCATGTCAATTGTTAATGAACAAAATGTCTACAAACATTCTTGCAAATAAGCATGACAAACAAAATCCTTTGATTGAGGTTCCATCTTCCTGGGTATCTTTACTTTGTGTCAAGTTGAAAAAATTAACCATCAAAACTGACCCCTTATCAATCTGATTCATAAAAACAGCATTATTTAGCCAAAATCTTTCCATTATTTTTGATCCCCAAGATCTTATTTTAGTATCACAATATAAACAATAGTACAACTTTTAAATAACCATTTTTTTATTTAGACAATGGAGTATCACTCATCTGTTAAAAACAATGACATCATAAAATTTGCTTGCAAATGGAAGGGACTAGAAAAGATCATCCTAAATGAGGTAACCAAACTCAGAAAAACAAACATGGTACCTACTCACTTACAAGTGGATATTAGCTGTAAAGTAAAGGATAACCATGCTACAATCCAAAGACTCAGAGAAGCTAAGTAGCAAGGAAGGATCAATGCAATCTGGGGTATGAATCTCACTATAAAGGGGAAATAGAACAGACATCACCAGTGAACAAAATGAGAGGTCTAGATGTGTGGTTGGGGATGGGAACAGGATGGATCAGGTGTAGGGAGGATGGTTGGAGAGAGTACTGGGAGAGACAACTGGAATCCAGAAGAGGGCATCTCTGGGATGAGTTAGAAACCTAGTACAATGGAAACTCACAGGAATCTATGAGGGTGACTCTAACAATGGGGCATACATACAGAACCTGAACCAGCCACTTCCTGTAACCAGACAAGACTTCCAGTGGAGGGATTGGGATACCAACCCATCCACAAATCCTTAGACCTACAGTTTGTGCTGGGGTAAAAATGGCACAGAAATTGTGGGAGTGGCCAACCAATACTGGTCCAGCTTCAAACAAATACAATGAGAGGGAGCCCACCTGGACACTGCCTGGAGGGCCACAGCCCAGAGACTGAACAGCCCAGACAGAACCAAAAACGACATGCAAAAAAAAAGAAAAAAAAGTCAATGAAATGATAACTAATGATATTCTGTGATACTCATAGATTGGTGTCTAGCTCAATAGTCATCAGAAAGGCTCCACAGAGGCTGAACTGACAACCAGAGAGCCTGCATGGGACTGAACTAGGCCCTTAGCATCTATGTTACAGTTCTATAGCTTGGTCTTCTTGTGGGACTCCTAACAGAGCAGGGGCTGTCTCTGACTCTGTTGCCTGCTTCTGGGAGCATACTCCTCAGACTGGGTTGCCTCCTCCAGCCTTAACAGGAGTAGAGATGCCTAGTCTCACTGCAACTTGATATGAGAAGGCTGATTGATATCCATGGGAGGCCTGCCCTTTTCTAAAGAGAAGCAGAGGAGGAAGAGTGTATGGGGGAGGGGGAGAGAGGAGGTGGAGGAGAGGGACTAAAGGAGAAGAGGGAGGGGAAACTGAGGGCAGAATGTAAAATCTAACAAATAAATAAATAAATACCAAAAGAAATATGAAGTATTTTAACTTAAGTAATGTTTTCTGTGAGTTCCTGTAAAATCCAAAATAGTTACAAACTTCTACTTACTATTTTTTTTATGTTTTTATTCATTTATTATTTGTTTTTCAAGACAGGGTTTCTCGATGTAGCCCTGGCTGTCCTGGAACTCACTCTGTGGACCAGGCTTTCCTGGAACTCAAAGAGCTCCCCCTGCCTCTGCCTCCCAAGTTCTGGGATCAAAGTATGCACCACCACACCCAAACTTCTTATTCCAAGAGGTAAGAACCAGGACACACTTAAATCAGACACAGCAAATTCACAGCACCTAGCTTCAGCTTCTTCCTGTTTCCTTCAGTCCTGCAGCTTCCTCTCTGCCAAAACCTGCATCACATGGGGGACTCTTACATATTGTGAAGTTGGGTTTCTGAATTGGAGTGAAGCCTTGACCTCCCCAGACCATAGCTTCTGTGTGCTGAATGTTAGAAGATAATTCCCATAAGATTTGCTCCAGTTTTGCTAGCCCCTTATTCATTAAAGCTGATTCTTCTGCACCAACTAATCAGGATCAATTGTTCAATTAAGCAAAAGTTTCATTTCCACAGATTCTTAATTCAAAATATCTCATCAACAGTCTTAATAACCATTTTTGCTGCTCTCTTATGCTTCATAGCCAGCCTCCATTGTCTATACCTCTCATAACATTCTTACGTTCTAACCTTCCAGAAGAACTCTTTAAATGTTGAGCACTCAATGGCCTTTTCTAGACCAAAGTTCCAAAACACCTCCACAATCTTCCCCAAAGGCATGATCAGGTTCATCAAAGCAACTGCCTGTACTCCTAATATCAATTTCTGTATTAATTATTTTCTGCTGCTGTGATAAAACTCTGACCAAAAACATCTTGAGGAAGAAAGGTATTTTATATGGTACCATTCCCAGATTACTATCTATCACTGAGGGAAGTCAGGGAAGGAATTGAAGCAGAGAAAATGGAGGAACACCTATTTGTGGCTCACAGTCCATGACCTGCTAGGCTTAATTTCTAATACAACCCAGGACCATCAGACCAGGGTGGCACTGCCAATAATGGGCTGGGTCCTCCAACATTAAGCATGAAGAAAATGACTCCATGACATGCTCACATGACAATCTGAAGAGAACAATTCCTCAGCTGGGGTTAGCTTTTCCTGGGTATCTCGAGTTTGCATCAATTTGACAAAAAAATAACAACAACAACAAAAAAAAAAAACAAAGAACACCCACAACTCTTGGCCAGTGTAGTCCCATAGACAACCTCTTTTGAACATTAGAGGACATTAAAAATGCTATTGGTTATTTGGTGGTAAGCACCTATTGTTGAAGATATCCCATACTTGCAATATAGAGTATGGACAAAGTAAGCTAGTAGTAACCTGGAAACTTCATCCCTACCAGATGGTTTTCATACTGCTGGAATGTGCTATGCATGCTACCAGAGGAGAAAAGCAATCCTCTGTCTCACCCAGCTGTGAACACCATGAGCTACAATAAGAACTGGGCTGGAAAGACATGCATACTGGTGCAGTAGCTGCACAAACACCTTTGTAGTAACCAACCACTCTCTGATAATGCTCCATAAGATGAAATCCACACCTGGCACCATTATCAAGTCAAGAATCTCTGGCTAGGCATATCATGGCCTAGGAGAGAACTTACTACTAGTAGTCTGCTAAACGGACATAGTATAAATCCAACTCCTAATGACTTAGTGTTGTACACATAGATTAATGGTAATTTCAATACTCATTAGAGAAACTAATCACTGTAGATGGCTGACACTGTGCCTCATATCATCCAATATACATAGAGTAATAAGAGACTGTAGAATGGAAAGCCCTAATGGGACATCTACATCACATAGCTCATCCCTCCTCCCAAGGTTCAGGGATCACTGTGGAAGAAAAAGCAGAAAGAGTGTTGGAGCTGGAGATGGTGGATGATTACAAGGAAATGGTATCTTCTGGATATAGCAGGACAGGCGCACATAAGAAGCCACAGTTTTTACGATGGTCTGCACAAAGCCTGTACAAGCCTAAGACAGACAAATTCTTAGCATGGAGAAGCAAGGTGAGCATGAGTACACCAAGTATGCTTGACCATAGAGCCATCT